GGGAGAGGAAGTCATTGTCTTCAGTGATGTAACCTCTAATGAGTTACTCATCCTCCAGGGAACAACTTCATACCCATGCCTACATGAGTGATCCTGATTAAAATTAATGTATCACAAAGAGAAAACAAAATAAAAAGACATGAAAGTAGGATGGAGCCTGGGTGGGAGGAAGGCAGTAGAGGCAGGAGAAAATTGAGAGTGTAGAAAAATGAGTGTGACAACAATATAATATATCCTTAGACAATAGACTTCTACATAATCTATGCATCAAAAAACACAGGTGAAATATGAAAGCAATTCAAAGGAGCATACTGAAACCACAAAATACATAGCAGTAAAGTGATGCCTCATGGGGAAATGTATAGCTTTAAATGCTAATGTTGGAAAAGAAGCTTTAAAACCCACAACAGATACAGCATTCTACTGTATAAAATGAGAAAATAAAGAGAAAACTATGTTCAAAGTAGTTTTTAAAATATTAATTTTTGTTTATAAACATACTTTTAAAATTAATTTATTCATTTTACATCCTTTTACATTATTTATTCCTTTTACATCCAATCGTAGCCCCCTCCCTCCTTTCCTCCCAGTCCCACCATCCCTTCTCCTTCCCCCTTCCCCTCCCTTCCTCCTCAGAAAACGGAAGTCCCACCCACCCCAGTGAAGTCACATCAGGATTGAGTGCATCCTTCTGCTGTTGCCTGTAGAGGCAGTCCCACCAGGGGAAAGTGTTCAAAAAGCAGGCAACAGGATCCATGTCAGAGACAGCTTCTTCTCTCCTTACTGGGGAACCCACATAAAGACCAAGCTTCCCATTGACTACATCTGTGTAGGAGTCCCAGAAGTTACAGCAGAAGCAAGAACAACAAACCACAAACTCTTGATACCTCAACAGTGTTAGTTTCTCCATGTTATGTTTGTGCTTCCTGTTCTATAAACTTAGTTAGTGCCAGACCACTAACTGTTCCTGGAGACAGTGCAGTGAGAACACAATAGATTTCAATGAACTGGAAGCTATGACTACAATTTGAGTATCTGGGGAGTCCACAAAGAAGTTCAACCAACAAAGAAAGTTGCTATGGCGATGGGCAGCGGCATTGCTGATTACAATAAGGAGCCAAGGCTGCTGCTGTGAAGAACCTACCTAGAAACCAGGAGCATCCCTGGATCATCCCTCGGTATCCCTAGCTTGCAGTAGTGAGCAGGCCACTAGCGGAACCATGGAGGATAATGAAAACAGCTCAAACCTCTCAGCGATATGTAAATTATGCCTACAATTCAAGTTGGCTCATGTGCTTTATAGAGGTAACGAGAAACAAGTTTGTGTTCTGGTGGTCTAAGAAGTAGCAAGTAGGTCCTCAAGAGCAAAGTATTAGCCTTTTTATGGCTATTTTGTGTTAAGTCTTTGTGGACATTTTGGCTGGCTATTACAAGAGAGAAACTTTGGATATATGGAACTTGAAATTAAAATGCAGGCATGAGCACTTCTGAGTGGCAGAAGGGGAAATGGGTTTTTGTTTGTTTGTTTGTTTGTTTGTTTATTAAATGTATTTATTCATTTTACATCCCAATTGCAGCCCCCTCCCTCCTTCTTATCCAGTCCCACCATCCTACCCTTTCCTCCCTCCCTTCTCAGAAAAAAGGAGCCCTCCCCCTTACCAACCTGCCCCAGAACATCAAGACACATCAGGACTAAGCACATCCTCTTCCACTGAGGCCAGACAAAGCAGCCCAGCTAGAGGAAGGTGATCCAAAAGCAGGCAACAGAGTCTATGTCAGTGATAGAAGGTTGTGAATGATGGAACACACACAAGGTTGCTGTCAACTTGAAGAAGCCCCACCGTGCTGACTTGTCTCCTTTTCCAGTTTCCTCATCCCACTCTTTGCTCCTGCTCTCTAGATCTCCTCCCAAATGAATTTTCTCTTGTGCCTTTGTCCTTCCTTTGAGGAAAACCCAGCTGGGACATTGATCTTCACACCTGCATACTGATTCCCCTGGCCACACAAAGCTGTGCTGCCTCTTCATGTGTTTTAGAAAGGATTCAACACAACTTGGAGTCCATGGGTTTGGATAAGGCCACTCCGCTTGGGAGAATGAAGGCTGGCAGTTTTCCCTAGGGAAGACATCCTTCCAACTTGACCTCATTGCTAATGGCCCCTTCTTGCCCACAGTTTGTCCTCTTTAGGAGTTCCATTTCTTTGAGGCAAACAAACATGTAGCTTATCTCTTCACATTAACTCTCCTCAAAGGTGACTGGTAAACATGAAGAATTAGCAAACTGCATCAACCCTAAGAGAGTTCCTCTATCCTTCAGTTAATCTCATTTATTTTCTTTGCTGCTTCACAGTCTCTGAACTATGTTTTCCTCTTTTTAAATGACAGACTGTTTTCTTTGGCACAGCCCCAGAGTACAGCAACAGTTAAAATCGCAGCTATGTGAAAGATCTGTATTTGTTTAGAATTTACTCCGAAGGCCGTGAGAGCAAGCGACCTGGATTTTAGAAGCAGCCCCAGGAAATTCACAGGATTTTCTTTCCTGTCTTCTTGCCAGGGAGCTGGCTTTTCTTTGGCCAATGGCAAGTTGCAGTAAGGTCAAATTTTAGGCTAGCTGGGCTCTCTTAGGATATCAGTCCCCTTGCTTTCTCGCTCTATACTTACCGGATACAGAACAATAACTGTGACGGGATGCTGACTAGCTTAGGCTTCCACATGACAAATGGGACAAATAATCTCCCAAAATCTATTTTGGAGATACATCTAACCTAACAAAGAAAAGATTGACTTTGTGTACACACATCCATCATGCCATGAATAGCAATCCAATCTACTTTAAAAAAATATTCAAAAGAACACTACAACTGCCCCCAAGTGACCTAAAAAGGACAAAAGAGCTGAAGCAGGAGGCTCAGAAGTAAACTTGAAGACTGACAGAGACCTTTGAACAATGGGTAGCTCACATCAATTGATGGAGTGTGGCGGTGTGTTTTCTAATTTATGAATAGTTAGAAATCCTGATTCCTTACCTTGGAAGGAACATAGAAGTAATACTGACCTTGGGTTGGAAGATAGAGGTCAGAGGTAGAATTAAATCCACTTTTAGCCTCATCAAAATTAATATTTTGTTAGTGTGGCAAATGTTTAAAAAATATTTGTAAACATAGAGCATCTTTGGTATTGACTTTATCCACTTGACTCCCAGTGATTAAGAAAAGCTGCCAGCGATCAGAAGCACAGGGTTCCAACGCTGGTGCCTACCACAGAAACCTCTCTGAAATCTGCCGTCAGGATACTCTGGTACTCTGCTTGTAGGAGCTGCACTTCTTGTTCCCTTATTCTTTTCTTATGAAACAACTCTTTGTACTTCCTTCCTGGACAGTAAATAACCTGGTTGTGCAGCATCGTTAGTCAATCCCGAAGGATCTGCTTCACAAGTAACCTTCAAGGGATGTTTATTTTGCTCTATCTTCTCCAGGAAACCAGGGATAACAGAATTTGCTTTGGCTCCGGCTGACTTATCCACTTATCCATTCATTTATTTCTTTTTTCTTTTTTTTTTCTGTCTTCTAATTCACAAGGAGGGTTGATAATTAAGCTTTTACCCTTGAAGACTTTTGGTTTGGTTTTGAGACAAGGCTTGTAGCTTAGGCTGACCTCAAACTCTTTATATAGCCAAGGATGAATTTTATTTTATTTTTATTGTTTGTTATTATTATTTACATTTTATCAACACGGCATCCCAGCTGCATCCCGCTTCCCCATTCCCTCCCAATCCCATCCTCCCTCCCTCAGCTTCTCCCTGCCCCTTTCCAAGTCCATGGACTGGGGAGGACCTCCTCCCCTTTCGTCTGGCCCTGTTTTATCAGGTATCTTCAGGGCTAGCTGCTAAGTCCTCCTCTGTGGCCTACCAGAATTGCTCCTCCCTTGGGGGGTGGGAAGTCAAAGAGCCTGCCATTGAGTTCCTGTCAGAGATAGTCCCTGTTCTCTCGACTATGGGAAACCAATTGGTTATTGAGATACCATGAGCTTTGTCCGAGTAAAGGCTCTAGGTTATAAAGGATGAATTTTAAATCCTGATTCTTCGGCCTCTATCTCCTAAGTGCTGGAGTTATAGGTGTGCACCACTATGCCTGGCTCATGAAGTGCTGGGGAATGAACTTGGGGCTCTATGGATGCTAGCCAGATACTCAACAAACTAAGCTATATTCCCAGCCCCATCCTAAAAATATTTAAAATGTGAACAAGTCCAGCAAAAGGTTACTTTAAAGAAAAATGGCCTATTTATGGATAACAGAATTACACAGCAAAGAAGAAATAAAGAAAGAAAGGAAGACATAAGGAAATAAGGAAGGAAATTGGGAGAGAAGGAGTAGGTAAAATTTCTCAGGTTCCATTTTTCCTAATAAGATTATAGAGAATGAAAATTTTTGAGCAAGTTTTTATTATTATTAGCAAGAATCTCCTTAGGAACTATGTTTCAAGTTTAGACACCAAATGACTGTCATAATCTTCCTTGTTTTGCCAGATAATAGATAGTCCTTCCATATCTAAAAATAAAGTCATATTTTTTAAAAACCTAGGGTTGGTAAAGGTTCAACAGTGTGAATATAATGACAAATTTTGGTTGAAACTTTTTCCATTATGTAGGCAGAATGGCTGTTTGAGAGCACTTCCATTTTCAGCTGCAAATCTAGGCATTTTTTGCACAGATACAAAGTTGGAGCACCACAGTCTGTTGCCCAGTATGGGGCCATGATAACAGGTTCCTTCCTCTCCCATTACTTTCAGATAATCAGCATTTTCTAAGTCTTGAGTTATGGTCCTGCCTACGACTTGCCTTCTTTGATTCTAGACTAATTACTTTTCTATATTCTTCCTATCTATATTCTTCAACTCCTACAACTCTCCCAATTTAATTGACTTTCCCCCTACTCCCTCATTTTCAGTTGGTTTTTACATTTCTGGTGTCAACAAAACAAAATGGAAAACTCATAAACCTTACCATCCCCACCAAGGATAAATATAAGAACATCCCAGCAGTCACTGTTAAAATCCAGTCTTGGACACGTGGATCAGCGGACACTGAGAGACCAATGTACAGTCCTACAAAGGCCGTCAGGGCACTTATAAAATTCATCAGGATGGCAGTCCTGGTGGAGAGTCCAGAGCTTAAGAGCACTGCAAAGTCTCCTGGAGTTTGGGGGTGGGGGAGAGCAAGGAAGGGAGAGAAAACATCACCATTACTTATTTGAAGATGCTTGTGATAAATTCATGTACTACTAGTTTATTTTGAATTCTGGTGAAGGGAACTGGTTTGGGGAGCACAGACGAATGATCAGTTAGTCAGGCACATCCAACTACATTTCTGCGGCTCTCTACCTAGTTGAAGTTAAGGCTGGAAACGGATCTATTCCCTTGCCTAAATCAGCCCACCCAGAGGGGTCTGTAACATGCTCTCCAATCCCTGATGTCCTGTGGCATTTTGAACTCAGAAAAAAGCAAAACAAAGGCACCCTCCAGCCAACAGCTTCTCCATTCATTTCTGTTGTTGCTTTGGCCTAGATCTTGGCCAGGAGAATAGTGATACTGTATTGGCTTTTATGACGTACTTATTGGGATCTGTTGTAGAGAAAGAGGAAAACTACATAATTAGAGACTCCTAAATCCTTGAAAAGTTGATTAGAGAAAGAAAACCTTTCTGTAGAAAATGGTTTTCTACCTTTATGATCAAAGAACATCATCTGTTATTTTCTTTCCATACCTTTGTGTCCAAAGATGAACATTCTACCTAGAAATCTAGAGTATTTATTTCTCAGTCTATATCAACAATAGAGGCTAAAAGTGAATAGAGAAAGCATGTAAGATTTCATTCCCTAATTCCATTGCAGAACTGGTCCCAGAAATAGCTCCTGATCCCACCATAGTGGCCTGCACTGCTCAATGATTTGAAGGTGAAGGTCAAATACCAGGCCACTAGTATAGTAGCTAAACACTTGGCCATAGAGTTTGACTTCCAGACCAGTTAAAATTTAATGGGCTCAGAAAGGACCTTGGCTAAAGTGGGTCAATAATAGCTTGGGAACAGGACTTTGGGGAATGGACACTGAAAACAAGAGGGCAAGGGCGGCCCATGGGACAATGTGAACTTGAACTTGAAAGCAGAAGAACGAATGTGTCCTAGTTTCCTCTTTCTTGTTATGATTATACACCCTGACCAAAAACTTAGGGGTGGAAAGAATTTGTTTTGTATTATACTTCCAGGTCAGTCCATCATGGAAGGAAGTCAGGACAGCAACTCAAGCAAGATCTTGAAGCAGAAACCTTGGAGGGATGGATGCTGCTTGCTGGCTCACTCCAGTGTAGGCTTGGCTAGCTTCATGGTAAGGCTCAGGACACCTTTTCAGGCAGTGCTGCTGTCCACCAAAGGCTAGGCTCTCCTAACCCATCAATGAACAATGAAGACAATCTTTCAAAGCCTCACCTAGGCAACCCCTCAATGTGTACACTCTCCTGAGGTGATCCTAGGCAGTGTAAATTGACAAAGCTAACTGGCTTGAGCCCGCCCTCTAGGACACAGATAGAGACAGCTCTCCCTGCATTGACTCTAAGCTGTTTCAGAGAACTCTATTTTAGTCAATCTTGGTTTCTAGGAAGAAGGACAAATGTACAAGGTTATTGAGTTTATATAGTAAATATAGTTTATACAGTAAATATAATATTGAGTTTATGTAGTTTTATGTGAGTCTAATACCATATACCTGTTGCTTCAATTTTATGTTTAGCTTTAATTATTCTGTATTAATCAGGCTGATGAATGCTTTGATTTTAATTTAAATGTTGTTTTATCTCAGGCCTGTTTTTCGACACAGCAGTTTCCCTCTTAACATGTTTGCTATATTGAACATTCAAATTTTGAAGTCTTTGCCAAAGTTCTTTAGAATGATTTCTCTGAATGATGCTCTCCCACACCTAATCAGCTGGAATCCCTAAGGAATAATTCCTAACCCTGGGGGAAAAGGTAAGGACTTTACATGAGTTTTATCTCAGAGTACATGTTTTTGTTTGTTTAGTTTATTGTTTTTTTTTTTTTTTTGGTTTGGTTTGGTATGGCTTGCTTATGGTTCAAATAAATTAAAAATGGAGAGTGTTTGAAAAATAATACTATCTTCTGGAGAAGATTCCAAGCAAACTATTGGTGGGGATGTATTGGGACTCCCTCAAGAACCAGGAACACATACCCATCTCATGTGGAATTTCATGGCACAAAATAGCAATTGTTGTGGTCACTCCTGACTCCAATGACGATGAGAAGGCTGTCCCTATTACTAGGCCATCTGCAAAATTATGCAGGCTATCACCAACCAGTATCATAATTGCCAATAAGCTGATGGTTTTGCCTAAAGAGTCAAACAAAGGAGTGGGATGTATTAATAAAGCATCACAGATGTCATGGTTACTTCACACCCAAGTACCTTTCCCATCCACTTTAACATTCTTATACTGCACCTCATTAAACAGCCCTAATAAATTCTACTTTAAAGGTAAAGGCAGAGCTGGAAATAAAATGTAGAACCAAATAAAACTGAAATACTCACTATTTTTTAACCGCTTTGACCAATTATAAAATAAATTAGCTGTTGACTATTGGTTTCTACATTTTATTGAAATAAGCTATGATGATTTGAATGTGAATGCCCTTCCCCCTGCTTAGGTTCATATGTTTAAATACTGGGTCCCCAGTTGGTGAAACTGTTTGGCAAGGATTGGTAGGTATAACTCTACTGGAGGAGGTATCACTGAGGCAGGGGGGGATTTCAAAAGGCTTACTTCATTCTGGGTACCTTCTGTACTTTCTACTTGTGGTTTGAGACAGAGCTCTCAGCTATTCCTGCCTTTCTTCTACCGTCATGGACTAATCTTCTGAAGCACTAAGCACAACTAAATGCTTTCTTTTATAAGTTGCCTTGGCCACAATATTTTGTCACAGCAATAAAACAGTAACTAATACACATGGTATGCCAAAGATGAAATCTACAGCAGTGCTGTAGATCCGTGAATAGCTACTAACATCCTTTCTGCCATGGTCTTTGTAAGGTATTCTATGAAAACTTAAGAATTGTGTTGTGTGTAAGATGCTGATGACCCTCACATTCTTCATATGTTGTAACTTGACTTTCTTATGTAAAGCTGTGATGAAGCAGAGCCTTGAGAGTGATCTTAGATGATGAGTTGGGGCTACTGCCTTACCCTGTTTGCCATGCAAGGGCACAGTGAGAAGACCCATCAGTGAACCAGAAAATGGGCCATTGCCTCCCCTTGGCCTTTCTTTTCTAGACACTAGAAAAGAAAATTCTGTCATCTAGGAAACTGTAAGGCACAGCAGTGTTAGTGGGCTGAGACAAATCTCCCTGCGGGGGACCACTTGCATGCTGTTGGCCAGCCAGAGCTGTTGCTCTGACCTTGATGATCTTGCATCAGGCTGCTCAATGTACTTCCTGTCCTCATGAGATCATTGTGTTTCCTGATCTGACTGGGGATTAATGACTCTCCTAAACTGCCTTGTTCGCTCTGTAACTGTGTCCACAACAACCACAAATGACTTTTCCAGCTCCCAAATTATCTTTGTAATATTATCTTTGTAAATTATCACTGTACTTGTCTTTCTGCAAAACAAAAACAAAATAAACAAACAAAAGAAAATCATTCAGTACTAGACCAGTTAGATACTGAATTAAGATAAGATTTCATTTACATAGGATTATTCTATTTTGTGCAGGCTCTCTGCTTAGTCGTTAATATAAATTAATTGATCATAATTGGGTTTGGGTTTTAATAGAAAAACAAACCCAAATTTAAATAAACTCAGTTGCATATTGCAACCCAATTATAGACTTGAGCAACTAACAAAATGTACTTTGAGAATAACACTTGTTCTGAACTGTGCTATTTCAGCTAATAAAGTAGACATCAATAGTGAAGTCTAAAACTTCACTCTTCAGCTTCAAATATGCTGCAAAAGAGGTGTAAGTACTAGTTGTTGTCACTGTTAGAACTAAATACACTTTCCAAATAATTGTATTTAGTAGGAATACAAAGAGTTTATTTTGTGTTCAATGGCCATTCATGGCCTAAGAATGAGAGGTACTGTACATTAATATAACATGGTATTTTGTAAGAAGAATGTGATTTGACACACTGTATACTTAAATGATGGTCAGAGTTTGTATTTTCAAGCAAGAAATAGCTGCACTGACCTTGTTACAAAAGTGGCCTGTGAAATTACTTATTTTTTCTTTTATTATTATTATTATTATTATTATTATTATTATTATTATTTATTATTTATTTGCTTTGTATCCCAGTTCTAGCCCCCTCCCTCATCTCCTCCTCATCCCACCCTCCTTCCTTCTTCTTCCCCTATCCCTCTTCCTTAGTTCACTGATAGGGAAGGTCCTCCTCTACTGTCTGACCCTAGCTCTCAGGTCCCATCAGGACTGCCTGGATCCTCTTCCTCTGTAAGCTGGCTAAAATTTAATATTTTTTAAAATTCATTCACTTTACATCCTAATCATACCCCCTTCCCTCACATCCTCCCGGACCCACGCTTCCTTTCTCTTCCCCTGAACCCCTTCCCCTAGTCCTCAGAAATGGGGAGCTCTCCTACCCTACCAACTGACCCCAGCCTATCAAGTCTCACTAGGACTTCCTGCATCTTCTTCATCTGTGGGCTGGTAAGGCCATCCTGCCAGGCAACGGAGCCCATGTAAGAGAGATTCTCTGATCCTCTTGCTAGGGAGCCCACATGGAGACTGAGCTGCCTATGACTACATCATATACCCAAAATATGCTTCACCATACAACAAAGATAATTGCTCAACTGTGTTCATAACGGCTTTATTCATAATAGCCAGAAACTAGAAACAACCCAGACTTCCCTCAACCAAAGAACAGATAAAGAAACTGTGGTACATCTACATAATGGAATACTATTCCGCTATTAAAAACAAGGACATCATGAAATTTGCAGGCAAATGGATAAATATGGAAAAGATCATCATGAATGAGGAAATCCAGATCCTGAAAGAGAAGCATGGTATAAACTCATTTATAAGCAGATATTAGCCGTATAATACGAGAAACCGTACTAGAATCCACAGGCCTAAAGAAGCTAACAATGAAATTTACTCTCCCTGACAGGGTGGCCTTAGCCTTACTAGGCTACAGAGAAAGAGGATACTGACAGTCCTGATGAGACCTGATAGTCTAGGGTCGCTATCAGTGGACTAGGGGAAGGATATCAGGGTGAAGAGGGAGGAAGTGTGGGACTGGGAGGAGATGAGGGAAGGTGCTGCAGCCAGGATACAAAGTGAATAAATTGTAATAATAATAATAATAATAATAATAATTTTTAAAAGAACAGGTTTCACTATGAAGAAAACAATGACATTTACTTATAAGCTCATACTGGTTTGTAATATTAAGAACTGTTCTCAGTGGTGGAGCTCTCATCTGGCATGTATGAGGGACTAGGTTTACTCTCCAGTCTGAGAAAAATAGAAGTACAGAACAAACTAACATCTTGCTCAGGGTTTATTAACTCAGGTTAAAACTGGAGAGAGTTCAGGAAGTGATCATAAACACACAGGATAAATACCAAATTTCTGAGCTCAACATTGACCCGAAAGTTCTCAGACTCTGATGACACTATGATATCACTTAGCTGCTCCTGCCAATTTCCAAAAACAAAGTTTCTCTTTGTAAAATAATTCAATTTAAAGCAACACATTTCAGCCCAGCTGCCTGTGAATAAAACTCCGTTTTCCTTATGCCTACATGCAGTTTTAATACTGATAAAATATATTCCACTTCAGCATTTCGGTGATGTAGCTCTTTCTAGGAAACAGTGTTGCCTATTTTCCTTGTCTATCACTTTATTATCTCTGATTATAGGCTTCTAAATATCACAATGTGGGTATATAAGAAGAAAGAAAAACACGTTTGTCTTTGCACATTTGCAAGCAAGCCACAAAGAACACATATTTGAAAATTTGCATATTCAGCAAGATCATTTAAGCAGTTAGTGGAAGATAAGCATTTGCCAATAATTTAACATACTTGATACCAAACTAACTCTAATATTTCACCTTTGTTAATGTACCTGGCAGTCTTCAGGGTCACGCATCCTGAACTATCTGATATTTTCCACCATGAAGCATGGGCTAGAACTAATATGTTTTGGGGTTTTGTTTATTTAAATCAGACCTTGGACAGGATTTTCACATCCTGTCTTCTGAAATACAAGTGGAGTACTACCAACAAGGTAATATAAAACAAGTAATCACATAGTCAAAGCTAACTCAGTGTTTTCCTGGCAAAGGGCAGCTATACGTGCTAATTTGGATTTGCTCACTGTTCATTCTGTATGCCAAGCTTGATACCTGTGGGAGAAGATTATTTGCGTGAAATGATTGTTGCTCCCTGGTGTAGTTTCCATACTCTGCTCCTAATTCAACTTGTCATATCTTTCCCCCCCCCCTTTCCTTTATTTCAAAAGTAAAAACAGCAAAGTCTGATGTAGACCCACTATGTGCCAAACATTCCAAATTCATACTGGAACTAAGAATTATACAAGAATTAAATAATATCCTTGAGCTGTAGACATGGCTCAGCAGGTAGGAACACTAGCTGCTCTTTCAGAAGATCAAAGTTTGATTCCCAGCACCTACATGGTGGCTCACAACCACTTTTAACTCCAATTCCAAGGGATCTGAAACCCTCCTCTAGCTCCCAAGGGCCCTTATGTATATGCAGACAAAATACACACATTAAAATTTTGAATCAATTTACAAAAGAACTAAACAACATCCTGAAAGCAAAATGGGACCGAATATGAAATTACTGTTTCGAACCAAATTTGTAAATTTCATGACACTATCACTAAAACAGAGCAAGTGCTGTCATAATAACAAGTAGAGTAGTAATATGTGTTTATTCTTACTAGTGTTTACAGTCCAAACTACATGGTAAACTACAGTCAATGAACATGAACATGAACATGCTTGTTCAATTCTCCGGCGCACACACAAGGTCTCAAGCACAGCACATCTTCAGACAATTTTTCCATGGTGGTGATCAATTCCATGGCCTTATCTCTACCAGGCAAATGCCCTACTATGGAGCTGCAGCCTCAACTCCACAAAGTATACTCTAAATAAATAAAAAAATTAAGAGAACCCATTGATAAATGCATGAATGAATATGTATGCATGAATGGAATAAAGTTCAGCTTGGTTTGTGGTGTCCTTGGGAGGCAGACAAGAATGGGTGCTCACTGAAGATCTTATTGCAAAGCTTTTCACCATGAAACAGAGTTCTACTATGTGGTCTCATTGATTTTGACATTATTTGTTTAAAAACAGATATAATCTTTTTCTATACCACTTTTTATACTTAAGTTTTAACTATGTAAAACTGGTACTTACAGTTTCTTTTGGAGGCTGGCACATCACCTATGGTTGGCTCAGCTGGCTGTGAATCTTCTGGGCCTTTCTATGTTGAATTAAAATATAATCAGTGAAAAGTGAGTAACCATCACCTTAGGTTGGAACCTGAGACAGCTAAAGAATTACACTGACGTTTAAAGGACATTTTACTACTCCAGATCCATATCTGAACTGACATCTTACATATTCACCATAAAGTACAAGGACTGTCATGTGTAGGGAGAAAGTACATCCTCCACAGAGGACTGAATGCTTCTCAGCTGGCCTGTAGTTCATTCAAATTCTTTATGTCACAGAAGCCTTTACTGAAGACAAAAGTTTAGAAACTGGTTCTTGACCTAGTTTGGCATGTCTTGCAAAGGCTGTCCTTGGATTCATCTCTCAGTTCATAAGTGGATGGATGGTGCCCTCAGGTATAGGAGAAAAACCCAAGCCAACTCAATGCATTGTGTCACTCCATGGCTCTCTTTATTGCTTTGCCAGTCAGTAAGAAAAAAAATACCATATACAAAGTCTAATACAAAAGTCTAGATACAAAAGAGGACTAGATTATCCAGTCTTCAACTTTTTTTTTTAAGATCTAGTTCTTTAATTTACATGAGTGCTCTATTTGCATGTACACCTGCATGCCAGAAGAGGGCACCAGATCTTATTATAGATGGTTGGGAGCCACCATGTGGTTGCTGGGAATTGAACTCAGGACCTCTGGAAGAGCAGACAGTGCTCTTAACCTCTGAGCCATCTCTCCAGCCTCACTTTATGAGATTTTTAAATTGCCATATGCATGAGTTATGATTTTAATTTCAGAGATTAGACCATATGTAGTGCAATTTCTGGTCCACATTCTCTGTGGTTACTCTGAGTTATGAAGAGGACACATTTCAAATAACCATTCTACTCAAGTCCAGTTTGGCTAACCAGCGAGCTTATTGGGCTTACTTACAAGCATCTGAGTGAAAGGGTACCTACAGGAACCTGAGTGATCCCACAGCAGTCACAGCACAAAAAAGTCCCACCCCAGGGATTTATAACTTCCCTTAGCTGCATGAATGGAGACCCACCAAGGATGCATTTTATCCACAACTAAATACTTCTTTTAAAAAGCCTATGCATCAAATTCTATCAGCCAATGTTGTAGAACTGACAAAAGTTGAATGTAAGACCAATTATCATTGTCATTGTCAACATAAAAGTAAGACTAAAATTCATAAGTCAAAGAAATAGCAGTTATTCCAGAGGTGGGTGATTTGGGGAGAAGAAAGGCTGAAAGAGGAGAGAACTGCAGGATACAGCATATCTCCTTGTCTACGCATCCAGTATGCTAATTATACCTTATTCAGAGACGGACTTGTAATCACAAGCGCCCTGGTTCTACTGAAAGATATATTCAAATATTTATTTTGTCCAGTATTCCTGAAATCTATATATCATCACACACTACAATGGAATTCGGAGGCAAGCCTCCAGAACCTCTACACATGAAGAAAAATAATAAAGTTTCCATCTTCAACCTACATTTTCAAAAAAAAAAAAAAAAGAGGAGAAAATAGACCCAAAAAATTTAAGATTCTTCATGAAAGGCTCTGCCCTGCAGACTATCAATGTAGGTGCTGAGACTTATGGGCAACCTTTGGGCAGAGTGCAGGGAATCTTAGGAAAGACGTGGGAAACAGTAATCTGGAGAGGACAGGAACTCCACAAGGAGAGCAACAGAACCAAAAATTCTGAGCACAGGGGTCTTTCCTGAGACTGATACTCCAACCAAGAACTATGCATGGAGATAACCTAAGACCCCTGCACAGATGTAGCCCATGGCAGTTCAGTATCCAAGTGAGTTCCATTGTAGTAGGAACAGGGACTGTCTCTGACATGAACTGATTGGTCTGCCCTTTAACTTACTATGATACACATCACTAGACAAAATTAATTCTCTCGTGGATTATGAAATGAACACTCTCATCTTAGACAAACAAATCCCTTGCCCAGCACTGACTTGGGGTTATACAAAGTAGAAAACCCAAAGGTAACCTGGCTTGTGAAAACAAATAACTGAAGTGATGAAAATTATTATGTCAGTCGGATCCATGAGTATTTCACAGTGCAGATGGTGGTGACTTAAATCTGTGGAGAGTGTGTTTTGTGGGTGGGGGTGGAAGAAGCTTTCCAGTGCTTGGCAAAGTTTTCAAACAGTTTTTCTCTGGTCAAGAGCAGGCAAATCAGGAAGCTCTTTTACCCCAATGAGCTTCCTCTGTGCACCGAGAAGTAAAGAAAAGGCAGCTGAGTCTGCAGACCACATCAGATCACTGACCTACCAGCTGGATGGTTGATAGAGATTTGCCTCCTCCTGAGTGGTCATTTGATTCAGGGTTGAGCGCAAGGCGGTGGTCATGTCCCACATGGCCGTTAGCCAATGGCAGGCTCTGTAAGGTATGCAAAGGTAGTCAGAGGCAAGAAACACACGCGTATAGACTTCTTCAGTTCCATGGCTCTATTCAACATTTTGTTCATCAAAGTTTTGGGGAGGACACATTAAAATACCTCCTGGAACAACCTCATAGTGATGAATATGTAATAAAAAATCTTGGGAAAGCATTGCACGTACTCAGAATGCACTAACAATGTGACTTCAGAAACTCTAGCTGTGATTGAAAGAGGCTGAAATGGAAGTAGTTAAGATTATCACTTTATTTGCTAAAATTGCAGTTTTACAAAATTTTATTTGTAATTCTCTATGATATAGGAAAGAAATGATTATCGATTGTATTGTACCCTGGAACTACTAAGATAATATCTCCCTAACTACATTATTTAATAAAACATTTGTGAACATTTGAACATCTGTACTCCTTTTATTGCATCCAGTAACATGGACCATAAATTGTATTATTAATTGTTATTGTCATTATTATTCCTAAATGTGCCTCACTTATGCATGAGATACAGAACTTGTGTGGTGGTCAGAGGAATACTTTGTAGATTTTACGCCCCCTCACTCCCCAAACCCAAAATGATTTACTTTTTAAACTAATCATGAAGGTAAACAGAAAATTGCAACAAGAATATTAACTGCCCACTGATGAGCTTTTAAAAAACATTAAGAGCTACAATTAAGAACATGTTAGTCAGAATGAGCTGCTTCTTGTTGAAATGACTGTGCCTTCCCTCACACAGATGAATCTGTGAAGATGTCACTACTTTTTTCCTAGTATTGGGGATTGAACACAGGTTCTTGCACATAGAGGCAAATGCTCTGCCACCAAGCTGATCACTAGTCCTTTAATTTTTTAACTACAAGTTAACTATAAATTAAATTAATTCAGTCAGTTAGAGATAGCCTAGGGCGGCCTTGAACTCTCTATATAGATGAGGATGCTCCACTCCCCAGATGCTGGGGTTATAGTCATGTGCTACCACGCCCAGTTTATATAGTACTGGGGATCAAATTCTCAGGGCTTTATGCAAGCTAGGCAAATACTCTACCAACTGAACTACATGTCTAGACTAATTAATTAATTCGTGTTTAAGAGTTTCCTCCGTAGCCCAGGTTGGCCTTGAAGTTGTGATCCTCTTGCTAGCCTGTCCAGTACCTGGGATGAAAGGCATGCACTTCCACATACTACTTACTGTTGCATTTAGACAAGTATTTCTGGAATCAAGATACATATAATGAGGCCTCAACACAAAGGACAAAGGAGACATATACCTTGGCATTTGGTGACACAAGAAGGATAAAACATTTTTCTATCAAGAAAAATCCATGGATGCCTCCAAGTAGTCCCAACAGCTTCCAAATAAGACCTTGGCTTTCATGAGCATGCCCAAGCTCTGCTTCCTGCTTATGCAAACCAAGAACCTAAAAAGAAGAGAAAGAAACAGAGAAAGAAGCAAAGAAAGGCTCAGACCAGGGAAGCAGGTAGACTAACAGTACTCCTCCAAATCCAGTCCCCCAGTCTTATCCCCAGTTTGTAGCAGAACATTTGTGGCCTCAGTCTCCCACCTCTGTTTCCATCTCCCATTGATCCCACAGATCTTCCATTCCAAATTTCCCTCCCCCACTTACTACTTTATCACAGCCCCCAATCCAGCAGGCACTACTAAGAACCCACAGGCTACTCCAGCCGGGAAAGACAGTAGGCTAACTTTACTTTCCTCCTCTTCCCAAAGGCCAATCTCCCTTTTGCATCCCCAGCTCTGTGGTAGACCTTCTGCTGCAGCCTCTCCTCCCTCCCTGTCCTGTCTCCAGCTGAACACAGATCTTCTCCTCCAACCCCCCCCCATTTACCACTTTATCCCAGTCCTCAAACCCAGCAGGCATTCTCAGAGAACCCATAGGCCACTCCAGCCTTACTGCTCCATCCTTGTTGCCAACTCTGATGCACCACTCTTGTAGTTTCACCCCATCTCTGTAGCAGACCATCTGCTGTCCCTCACCTCTGTCCCCATCTTCAGCTGATAACTCAGAGCTTCTCCTCCAACCTTCTTCTCCACTCATCCTCTTATTCCAGCCCCAAACTCCAGCAGGCTTTCTCTGGAAACCCACCAGCCAAGTATGACAGAGAAGTAGGTAGGCAAGCTTCAGATCTTCATCTTTCCTCCTCTCCTTCATATCCAATTCTCCAGCCTCATCTCCAGCTCCCTAGCATACTATCTGTTGTGGCCTCTCGTCACTTACTACCTGCTGTCGTTCCCAGGGGACTGGTAGAACAGCCTGCTTTCCTCTCTCATGCAGACCCTCCTAGCCCATACCCATCCCTATGTGTTAGCTCCTAATACACATTTTATGTAGAACCCCCCAGTGACCATACCTATCAGAGTGCCAGAAAAAATTCCTGTCGGGCAACACATAGCCACTACATCCTGAGAGCCAGAAAGAGCAACAGAAACCATGGGGCTGGAGTAGAGCATCCACACAACAAAGGCAAGACCAGTTATTAGCACCTAGAATACAGTCTTCCAAACTCAGATGTCTAGAAGCCAGCATAAAAATGCAATCAGTAACAACCAGGAGAGTATGTCTCTACTAGAAGCCAGTAACCCAACTGCAAAAGGCCCTAAAAACTGCCATATAGCTGAAACACAAGACAAAGACCTTAACATAGCTTTTATGAATATGATAAAGGTCCTTAAAGAGGAATTTTTTTAAAAAAGTAAAGAAATCTATATAAAGCCCAGGACCAGATGGTTTTAACACAGAATTTTACCAGACTTTCAAAGAAGAGTTCATGCCAATACTCTTCAAATTATTCCATAAAATAGAAACATAAGGAGATTGTTAATTAATTATATGAGGCCACAGTTATCCCTATAATAAAACCACTTGAAGAAGAGGTTTTCAATCTGTGGCTGTGACCCCTTTGGGGGTCATATATCAGGTATCCTGTATATCACATATTCACATTACAATTCAGAAAGTAACAAAGTTAAAGTTATGAAGAAGTAATGAAATAATTTTATGGTTGAGGGCCACCACAACATGAGGAACTTAAAAGTGTCCTAACATTAAGAAGGTTAAGGACCACTGACTTAAAGACCCAACAAAGGAAGAGGATTACAGATTAATATTCCTTATCAATATAAATGTGAATATTCTCAATAAAGTATTTTCAAATTCAATCCAAGAATGCATAAAAAAGATTATCCACCATGATCAAGTAGGCTTCCTCCCAGAGATGCACAGATGGCTTAACATATGTAAGCCAATAAATACAACCCACTATATAAACAAACTGAAAGAAAAAAAATCACAAGATCATCTCATTACATACAGAGAAGGCCTTTGACAAAATTCAATACCCTTTCATGATAAAAAGTCCTGGAGAGATTAGGGGTACAATGAACATACCTAAACATAATAAAGGTAGTTTACAGCAAGCCCACAGACAAGATATACTTAAATGGAATAAAAGTCAAAGCAATTCCACTAAAATCAGAAACAAGACAAGGTTTTCCACAGTCCATTCAGATGCAATATAGTGCTTGAAGTCTTAGCTACAGCAATAAGATGATTTAAGGAGATCAAGGAAATACAAATTGGAAGGGAAAAAGTCAAGGATTTTTCTTTGCAAATGGTATGATAGTATACATAAGTGACACTAAAAATTCCACTGGGAAACTCTTATAGCTGATGAACATTTTCAACAAATTATATATATATATATTTAACTGTATATAAAATTAACTCAGAAAAATCAGTAGCTCTTCTGTATCCTAAGGACAAATGGGCTGAAAAAGAAATCTGGAAACAACACAATAGCTTCAAATAATATAAAATATTGTAAGTAATTCTAATCAGGAAAGCAAAAGACTTCTTTGATAAAATCCTTAAGAAACTGAAAAAGATAACAGAAAATCTCCCCATGCTCATGAATTGGTTGGATTAATACAGTAAAAATGGCCATTTTACCAAAAGCAATCCATAGATTCAGTGCAATCCTCATCAAAAACCAACACACACACACACAGGAAAGCTAAAACAATCCTGAATAATAAGAGACCTATAGAAGGTATCACAATCCCAGATTTCAAGTTGTACTACAGACTCATATTAATAAAACAGCATGGTATTGTCACAAAAACAGATACGTTGATCAATAAAATTCATACATAAATCTACATACCCACAGACACCTGTTTTTTTTGTTTTTTGTTTTTTGTTTTATAAAGAAGCCAGAAATACATAATGGGAAAAAAAAGGATCCTGGTCAAACTGGAAGATTGCATGTAGAGGAACCCAAATAAATTCATAATTAAGACCTTGCACAAAATTCAACTCCAAATGGATCAAAGACCTCAGAATAAAACCAGATACACTGAATCTGATAAAAGTGAAAATAGGGAACAGCTTCGAACTCATTGCACAGAAATAGTTTAAACAGAATAGCATTAACACAGGCACTAAGATCAACAATTAACAAATGGCACCTCATAAAAATTAAAAGCTTATGCACAAGAAAAGAGCATCATTTGTATAAGGTGGCAGCCTATAGAATGGGAAATGTTTTACCAACTACACATCTGGTAAGTGACTAGCATGAAAAATATGTAAAGATTCTCTACATGCATTGTCCTTGGTTGGGGTATCAGTCTCTGCAGGGTCCCCAGGGCTCAGTTTTTATGGCTCTGTTGGTCTCCTTTTGGAGCTCCTGTCCCTCCAGGTCTTTCTTTCTCCCCCTGCTTTCATAAGATTCCCTGCACTCTGCCCAAAGTTTGGCTATACCTGGCTCAGATGTAGCCCATAGATTCGGTCTCCAAGTGTGGTACCTAGATAGGGGAGCAGGGAATTTCTCTGGCATGAATTCAGTGGCAGCCTTTGTGATCATCACACGGGGGTGGAGGTGGAGGCGGGGCTGGTGCAGCCTTGCCAGGCCACAGAGGAAAACAATGTAACTGCTCCTGATGAGTCCTGATAGGCTAGTGTCAGATAGAAGGGGAGGAGGACCTCCTCTATCAGTGGACTAGGGGAGTGGCATAGAGGGAGAAGGGAAAGCAAGGGTGGGATTGGGAGGAGATGAGAGAGGGGGCCACAGCTGGGATACAAATTGAATAAATTGTAATAAATGATTAAAAAATTAATATATATATATATATATATATATATATATATATATATGGAACTCAAAACACTAGCTATCAAAAAAATAACCCAATTAAAAATAGGGTACAGATCTAAACAGAATTCTCAGTAAAGGAAACTCAAACACCTGAGAAACACATAAAGAAATGTTCAACATTTCTAGGCATCAGGGAAATGCAAATCAAAATTACTTTTGAGATTTCATCTTACACCTGTTAGAATGGCAATGCCAGCTAATGTTGACAAGAATGGAAAGGGGAAACACATCCATTGCTGGTGCAACTGCAGCCTGTACAGCCACTGTGGAGATGAGTGTGTGGCTACCTCAGTTAAAACGGAATTGATCTACCTCAATCCGGCTTTGGGATATTGGAGCAAGGCTCTACCGTCATCTGCAGACAACCATTCTCCCTTTAAAAGACATCTTCTTGGCCTTAGTGGAAAGTGAATGTTGATAATGGGCTAAGTGAATGTTGATAACTAAGCACGAGCTGCCCATCGTGAGCTGGGTGTTATCTGACCCACTAAGTCATAAAGAAGGATATGCACAGCAGGAATCTGTTATTAAATGAATGTGGTATATACATGATTGGGCCCAAGCAGTTTCTGAAGGCACAAGCAAGTTACAATGCCGTTTGCAGCCAAGTATGCATCCATAGCCTTGTGGGGTGTTCCCTGTGATCTGCTGACTGAAGAAGAGAAGAACAAGGCCTGGTTTCCTGATCATTCTGCACGTTACGCAGGCGCCATCCAGAAGTGGACAGCTGCATCATTACATCCCTTTTCTGGGCCAACCCTAAAAGACACCAGTGATGAAAAACCTTCCCAGTGGGCAGAACTTCAGGTAGTACACATGATCATACATTTTGCTTGGAAGGCTAAATGGGCAGATATGTAATTGCTCAGTGATTCATGAGCTGTAGCCAATGGATTAGCTGAATGGCCAGGGACTTGGAAAGAACATGCCAGGAAAATTGGTGAGAAAGATATCTTGGGGAAGATGTATTTTGGATAGATGTCTTCAAATGGGCAAAGGGCATAAAAATACTTGTGTCTCATGTAAATGCTCATTAAAAGATGACTTCAGCTGAAGAGGAATTCAATAGTCAAGGAGAAAGGATGACCCAGTCTTTAGACAATCAGCCTGTTTCCCCAGCTATTCCTGCCATTGCTCGTTGGCCCCATAAACAAAGTGGTCATGGTGGCAGAGATGGTGGTTACCCAGGGGCTTGACAACATGGGCTTTCACTCACCAACACTGACTTGGATAGAGCTGTTGC